ATAGCGACCAGTCTATAGATTCTCCAACCACCACCACGGGATGCAAGCAGCGCGACCGGGTTGACTCTCCCACCGAGCCGGTAACGGCAAGGCGGGACGGGGGGCTGTGTCGCGTAAGACGTACAACGGTCGGCGGAAAAGGCGATTCGAGATCCACCATCGGACCGTCGGACCGATAACATATCGTCCGACGTTAAACTCATCTGCCCGAGCGGCACGTCATGTATTATTATATTTTGGTCGCAATATTATAATACATAATTTGTGACATTCTTAAAGTGTTTGTGTTGTGTTTTTTTCATCACCTCAATCCTAACCAAACACTTCGACCGGACCACGATCAACCTTGAAGCAATCATCGTGTCCGCGTCAAGTATTCCCCTGGATTTGCATTTACATTTATTTGTTAAGCATTTAGTTTTACATAAACACTTCTTAAAACCTTGACCACCGGGAAAAGATTGTTCATTAGCTATTTCACTCAAAGATTTTTTTGTGGCTAAAACTTCTAAAATATCTATTAATGGTTCAGAGCATACAGTGAATTGATTTCTGGAATAAAGTTGATGAAGAGTGCCATTTTTATTACCGAGTTCGTAATATTGATTATCACTTATAGACACAACCGCAAAGAGTACATTCTGTGGATCACCCTTACTTCTGTCTACTTCTGGTAGTTTGACTCTAACTGTGTCGCCAACATTGCATGGTGGGAATTTGTTGATGGATCTGAACTTAATACCCGAGTAAAGTACGAAATAAACGTTTTATAAATAGTATTTTTACTTTATCCAATTATAGGTATAGGTAGTGTACACATTACCCGGATAATGTGAACACTAACCATATTTTGTACTTTACCCGTAACATATATATAATAGTTATTATTTTTATTTTTGTGTAAATACTAAAATTATACAATCCGTTAACACTATATCTAGTTATTTTATACCTATATATCTTGGTCACTTGGTTCACTGCAAATCTGATTATGTATCGCTACACTCAAATTCGTTTCAACAGAGTAACACGTTTATGAAATATACAAAATTATTGAATTATGCACATGTATAAATGAGTAATCATACAAGCTATAAAATTTAAGGAGGGTCATGGCTCAAAATAATGAATATATTTTCCAAAAAACGCAATAAAAAATTATAACCACTATACTAGACAGGTTAAAGTAGTAACCCTAGGGTACACAGAAGCGGAGTTTGGTCTCCTTATTCTAGTCTTCATGGTGTTATGTGAATGCTCTATTCATATTCCCTGCTTTTTTTAAATTATATATATTAATATATATTTATATATATATATATATATATATTAAGTATAGTTCAATTTAGCCACAATGAACTGCTATGCACATATCAATTTTTTTAGACCTATGGTGACATGATCTGTGTAACTATAGAGCTATTAGAGCTATGATTGAAAATTATACAAGTTATTCTTATTGACAAGTTAATTTGTTACAAAAATCATCGTTCTATAAAATTGATTTGTGCAGTCGCCATTTAATGGTGGATATAATGAACAATAATATATTATAAAAAAAATATTACATACAATTTTAAGGAGTAGTATTTTATTAGGGGGACGGAGTAGTATTTTATTAGGAGGACGGAGTAGTATTTTATTAGGGGGACCAAAGCGTCGGCTGCGACTCCCCCACCCGAGGGATGGCAGAAACCTACGGGTGCCCTAATACAAATTCTGCCACAAAAGATACCCGTGTACCAACCTATTCAATATAAAAACTCACAGTTCCATCCCCACACCCAATAGCCTATGTTGCCGCGGGTTATCTAATAAAAAAAAAAAATCTTTTATTACTTATTAGATTAGCATTAGTTATAAAGTTGTGGTGTAATTATTATACATAAATAGAAAATATATATTATTTTTCAGTAAATATAGGTGAACAATACTTTTGAGAAATGTACAACACTATAATATATAACTCTTTAATTCTTGGAGATGAATTGTGCGATCAGCTTAATGTAACTAATAACTATAATCATGGGCGGATAGGCCATTTTTGGCCTACCGGGAAATTATTAAAAGGGCCCCCTGGCCCACTTGAAAAAAAAAATAAGCTCACTTCTCTCGCAAGTACATTATTAGGTGAATTATATGAGCGCTACCATATCAAAAGAAAACAATGTACAACAAAACACATTTTTAAAATCATTTATTTATTTTTTAATTTTAAATCAATAACATTTTACTAAATACTGGGCTCAGTGGCGTATATAAAGGGGAGGCCCCCTAGGCCAGAGCCCATAGTGAATTTGCAGGTTCAATTAAAGCATTTCATGTATACCTACACTGTTTAGAGTTTTTCGCCATGATTAAGTTAGCCGGTTGATTAAAATCGTTTTTGAGGAATCAACAAGGAAATATTAGACTGTCAGGACTTGCTTTGATGACTCGTTTGATGACTTATAATTGACTATTTGATGTTAAATTCATAGTAAGACAACATTAAAATATATAAATGACACTGTCAATATTTTTTAAAAAAGAATCAGAAAATTAATTTTACATAATAATTAAATTGCGCAATTTTCATTTGTACTGTATATGTCATAATTATAACCACCCAGCTCCTTAAAAAATGTATAGTTATGACTTATGGCTATGTTAGTCGTGCTATGCCTGACTAGTGATAACTGATAAATTGGCCCATAGTGAAAATAATTTGTACATACGCCACTGACTGGGCTCCTATAGCTCCTAATTTATTAATGATGTCTTCAGAATCAATTTTGTTGAGAATATCTTTTAGATTATTTTCAGAAAATTTGTGAGTTATTACCCACCTTAACAGTCCCAACTCACAACCGTGACCACTACTTGCCGCCAATCGATAAACGACATTGTAGTTGGTGGCAGACAGTCCGATAGGCGATAAGAAATCTTTTGTAAAATACCACAGAATAGTAATAGATTTATAGATATAAGATCATAATAATATAATATTTCAAATTTATATTGTAATTGTATTAATATTATAATATTATGAGTAATTTCGTTAACCATAAAAAGGGCCCCATTGCCGAAATACGAAGTGGGGGCCCACCGGGAAATGCCCGGTTTCCCGGTAGGCCTATCCGCCCATGACTATAACTACTAAGTTTTTATAATTTAAATATGCTTACAAACTGTGTTAATAAATAACAGGTTGTTCTTTTAGGATTCAGGGTGCAGGACATAATCTCCCCATTTATTTATGGTATAATTGTAATTTCTATAAGCAATAGCTTTTGAAGTAATGATGAGTGGTTCAAAAGAATCACCTGGTATATAACCTGTATACAACTTAATTACCAACTATAAAAAATATGCTATATTTATAATTTTTTTCGCTTTAAATTCCTGTACAAATTTGAATTTGCATTTCCAAATGCCCACTCAAAGATAAGATTCAAATAAAAGATAAAATAGAAAATAGAATAACAAAGCTTTCACAATACCTTATCCACATATTATTGATGAGAAACTTAGCTCATTTATTTATTACAAAGGAATTTATAGAATTTGTTTGTTTTAAGAAATGTTTTGAAATACATAATTAATTTCACTTCTTAGAACTATAGCCAAAATTGTATTAAATTATATGTCTAGGTACCTTTAAAGTATAAAAAAATGAGTTGAACAATATTGTTTAAAATACATTAAACATTTATAATAAGAATTGTTAGTAGAAAAAATACAATATTGTAGGAATAGGAATTTATTTCATTTCATTTTCTATATTAAAATAGGTAACAAAGAATGGATAAAAAAAAAAACACCTTTACAGTTGATATTAAAACTAGGTACCGGAAAAATACCTACATGGAATAATATAGTATTTTTTAAGCATATTTATTATTTAATATGTAGTTATTTATGTATTTGTTGTCTATATTTCAATTTTTAATAATATTTACATTTTACTTTGTATTGAAAATAAAATAATGTCTGAAATTTAAAAATAAAATTAGGGTTTAGGGATTATTCTAAAATAATATTACCTATAAACTATGAAGGTAATTTCAAATTACACTACTGATCATAATACGCATACTATAGGCAGTGGCGTATTTACGGGGGGGGTCCCCGGGTCTGGACCCCCCCCCCCAGAAAAAAATATAATATAATATAATTATTACATCGTAACTCGTATGTGTTTTTTTTATATTATAAACTTGTAGGTACCTAATATTTAGACCCCCCCCAGAAAAAATTTCAAAATACGCCACTGACTATAGGATATTTTATATTTGAAGGAATTATAAATATATTTATTGTTTTAGTAAATAACGTTTACAGTATAAATTGTGTTCAATTAAGTTATCTTGCGAGTTAGAGAACATTTATAATACATTTATTTACAATCTCAATTTATGTTTGCTGGCAAACATATGATTTACATAAAATACTGGATTAGAACTCTGTGAAACTAATAAACTATATAATAATTTAGGAGGTAATAAATATAATAATATATATTCACATGGATACAATAGTGTTACCTATCTATTATGTTTTGCTGGCTACTGCACTAGTGTAGGTACTTAGTACTTCAATATACAGTGTAACCTCGATAACTCGAATATCTATAAGTCAAATTTTCAATAACTCAAGGGAATATCTTCGCCCCCTGCATTTCAATAAG